TAAATTTCTCAATCTGGTTCAAGAATTATATGCCCGATGGAAAGAGGTAGTCACTATTATGCTTAACATAGTTTTATGCTGTACTAGGCTACTAGCCAAGTCCCCAACCCCTCCCCCATTTTTGATTTTTGATTTTTGATTTTTGATTTTTTTTTTTTTTTTTTTTTTTTTGGATTTTTTTTTTAATTTAAAAAAAAAAATAAAAAAAATAATTATTATTTTTTTCTTCAAAAGTATTAAATTCTTGACATTGATGTACTGGATAAAGTGAGCCTGTTTGAGTCTGCTATTTGCTCAAAGACAAGCAATCTCTGTTTTTGTGATAGTTTAGGAGGGGGGGGAAATCAAATTTTCCAGTAAATGGAACTGTTCCTTTAAAAAAAGTTAAATGTCTGTGAGGATTAGCTGCCTATTATTTGAGCCTGCCTAGCTTGATTGCTCAGGTTTTTTTTGCAGTCTGGAAACCTCAAATTGTAGGTAATCAATCTGCTGTGACGAGGGATAAATAAACCTTCCCCCTTTTCTATAAATAGGGCATGAAGACCCATCATTACTTTCAAGTAATCAGAGTAGGCTTATAAATATGTGGATTCTTCAGACTCATGTAAGCAAAATTTTACATCATCTAAGGATCAATTGGTCCTACCTGTGTAATTTGGCTACAGATACACTTTAAATCCAACAGGAGAAAAACTTAGACCGCTGTCTAACTTCTCTTTTTCTTAACTCATCTGTAGATCAAGCATTAGCCCAGTGTTTGGTTAAAATTATAGTAAAATATGGGCAAATTGGTTTTGATAATATAAATCGTAATGTAAATAAAAGTTTAGAGAAGGGGCACAAGTGGTTGTGGGGGGGGGGGGGGGTGAGGAGTATGCTATTTAATTGAATTGCCTTTTTTACTATGTGCACAAACCGGCTTTCTCGCCACGTGCAGTTACAGTTATCTGTGACAAAAACTAAAGCATGATGCAAGGAAGAAGTGCATTGATTTCTGTCACAAAGGGGAAGGAATATGTACTATAGACCGATGTCTATCAAGTTTCCCCCTAACTCTTTATCCTCATTTGTCTCTGAGGGATTTCAGTCTAAAGATACAAGGTCCATGACTTTATAAGTAGGTTCACATGGCAGTCCTTTAACTTTAAGTTTAGGCTGTGCTTTTAAACTTTGAAGATATGTTGTAGTTAGGGATCGTATGGACACACCTGTTAGAAAACTATACCGGTAAGAGATTTTTCTCAAAGTTATAAATCAGGAACAACCAGAGAGTAGCGTGATAACTCTGAGCAGGGGCGTAGGGATCCTCACTCGAATGATGTGCATGTCGAGGAGATGCAATTTACTTAGAGGTTACACCAGCTTGGAAGTTGTAGTTCAAATGACTGCTTGCATGCTCAGCTTGTAGTTTTAAACTTTCATTTATACTTAGTGTTTTGGTGCCGTCTCAACCCTCATCGTCATTGATGGATCATGGTTGATAAATCAATTAATTATATCACACTGATGGGCATTATTTATGTTTAAAATATGATATAGAAATCAATATATCAAATCAAATCAAATTTTAGATTTTAGAAACTTACAGATTTAAACAACGACAGTCCCGTGTTAACATAGCTCATGTTTGTCCGTGGGCAACAAGATGAATAGAGCTTTAATAGTGGGTGGAGACGGACATCTTGTGCATAGATATTCAATTCAGAAAAGATAAAAGAGTATGTGGAAGTCTAATTTGTTTTGCAGATTATGTTGGCTTGCCTTTTTCTTATCATTCCAAATAGTGAAAGAGATGGATAAACAACACCCAGTTTAATCAAGGCTAGTGCCTCCTCAGCATTGGGCAATATGAAATATAGGTTTCATAATTCAGGAGTTACATGTCTTTCAAAAATGTATATATTTCATATTTTTTTTACCTTGTCATCATCTAGTCTTTAGTATTGACTAATATTTCAAGAGTTACATGTACATGTTTTTTTTTGTAAAATAACATACTCTACTCTTTCCTGTCAATAAAATTTGTTATTTTTAGATTTTGCAGTCAGTAAAATTTGTTATTTTTAGATTTTGCAGATTTATAAATGTACATGTAGGGTACATGGTTAAAAGTTGACAATAATTTTTATGTGAAAAGTATTGTATAGAATACATTCCACATCAAAATTATTGACTTTAATTTAACCTGCAAATTGAATTGAATTGCCATTTATTGTCCATTCAGGAATTTTGTTTTCACTGGTTTTACAATCATTGTACATGAATGGCAAAAAGTAAGCAGTATTACATTGAGATATAATTATTGTTACCCAGAATGCATGAATTAATATCAGTGAAAGAAAGGCAATTTTCATTGACACATATGTGTCTGATTTATTGGTTTATTTCAAAACATTTCTATTACCAAATTCCATTGACAGCTCACATGAGCAACGTTCAAAGGCCCCAATCCGAAACTGAAGCTGTGGAAATCTTTTTGCATCCATGCATCACAGAGTTTGGCATTCCTGAACATTTATTACAATAAAAAACAATAACAAGATGGCAGGCATGTACGAAAGTCGAGTAGGCATCATGTAGATCCAGCAGCTACTGAATGTTTAGATTTTGGCAGCGTGGTTGCTTGCTTGCGGTGGCACTAATGCAACAACCCGGGACTCTATGTGCTAAGGGAAACGTGGAGAAATCCATCTACCTTGGAAAGTACAATCACTCTGTAAATATGCAAGCCTTTTAACAATCCAAATTTGAAATAGCAAACACAGTGTCATAAACTAAAGATGAATCCCGAAGGGAATACAGCAATGTAAACAACCAGCAAGTGGAATGGGCGGAGTGAGGGAGGGGTTCAGATGAGGGCCATACAGCTCCGCTGTTTATACCTGGTTCTTGTTCACATGAAAAATATAATATCGTTTTCTAATCGCGAAGATGCACCGTGGGTCTATGATTGATTGGATATATCTATGTGTAAATTCATAGATTTTGCTCCCAAATATTTTCTAATCTACAATTTAATTAAGGATTATGTATTTATATTATTGAACATTTATTTTAACTCAAAAAACTATCCTTTAAAATATGAGAGTATTATAAGGCCTATGTATTAGAATTGTCTTTTTGAAGTATACTTCAGAAGAATATTTCTAAAGGCCTATGTAGCGGTATTGATATTGGTCCTGTAGTTTTTTTGGGGGAGGGGTTCTCTAGAATTTTAAAGGGGCCAACTGCCCCAGTCCCCCCCCCCCCCCCCCCCCCCGTTGGCTTCACTGCAGCACTGATGCAGTTCAGAGAGAGTTGCTTTTCAGAAAGTAGCATTTCCTTGTCTATATAGCATGGTACAGTATGTGAATGGGGGCATGACAGGACAGGCCGACCCCATGCATATAGTTCTAGGTTGTATACAAATATTTATGAAGCACCATATCTTGGTAAATACATGATGGACTGTGACCTCTGTAGAGAATGTATGTAAACATTTCTTGGAGAAAGATGAAGACCTTTTTTCCAGAAGTTCTGTTGCACTTCCTAAGTGGGATGGCAGGGTATACTGTACTCGGATGGGCATTTTGGGTGATGCAAGTACCCCCCCCCCCCCAAGTATCAAGTATGATCTAGATGAATGTAGATATAGGTTTGATTGACCATGAACCTAAATGAACCCAAATGTCAGTGACTTTGTGCATGTATTTTAATAAGTGAGATTCAGACACCTTTGTGTATATTACCTTATCTTGAAGATTAGTATGAATCAATAAAATTATCTAATAAGTGGATGAAAGTGGAGAAATAGTATGGGTAGTGAATTACAGCTTGAATGAAACATGATTCCAATTAATGATGATATTGATTTGTACACAAGGAAAAAAGGTATTCTCTGAGCAATATTTAGTGAAATGCTTTTTCAGTCATGAACAGTTACAGACTTTCTGAAGTACAGTTAGCTTCAAAGTTCATTCAAGAATGTAGCCTGAATGTACATGGATGTGACACTGTCAAGATTTTGTATTTCTTCATCGTCATTCTAACATAGATCCACCATTCGTGCTTGAGTTCAGTAAAAGATCTGGAATGATTGTCGTAGGAAGAAAGAAATGTATATGTGGCAATATAAAAAAGATAAATGTCACAAAAGACATGATTGTGATTATGGTGATCAAATCTTGATGTAGTACAAAGCCTTTCTAAAGAAACCCATCCATCAACTGCTTTCACTTAACTGTAACTTCATGCAAGATGTTTATGTTTCAAGCTGATACCAACCCATAAATCTTATTGAATGTATCTGCCACGAGATCTATCTTCTACCATTCTCAGGACATGAAAGAAAAGAAAGAAAGCCACTGGTTATAAAGCTCTATGAGCCTGCGAGCTCGCTGCGTAATCCATCATACGCCAGCCATACCGGTCTTCTCTTTTTACCCCAGAGCGTTTGGCTAGTACCTCTAGTGTTCCATCGATGATCCTTTTTCACTTAGGGGGGAGATGTGGAAGTGTGATCTAGTACGCCAGCCTTTGTAGGGGAAGGAAGAAATGATGAATCTGTGTTCTGTTGTGAATTGATAAATTTTGTCTTGATCTTATCATCGGCTGGGCAATATATCAGGATTTGGTCTGTCCCTGTGCAAATCCGATGTATAGCCTCACTTCCATGCCCAGTATCTTTTGAAATTTTCCTTATGAATTATTATTTTCTATCCAAGACATATTTCATGTATGTATTGTATTTTTATCCTTAATTGTCAAGCGCTGTAGCAGCTACCAAGACTGAGATTTGAAACTATATTTGGTAGGCTTGACTCAATAGGATGTCCTATTTTGATATTGACACATCCTCTAACTATATAGGTTATACTGGGAATATACTGAGTTATACTGAGCCTTGAAACTGAGCTACTTAGGCCAGACTGGTCTCAAGCTGATTGTACACCCTCCGCTTACATCACTGACATGATAAACAAAATCTGAAGTATTTTAATTTTCTTTAAAATATTTTTTCTCTTTTCTTATCTTTTCAGAGACCTGAGTTATAACCAGCTGGTGAAAATTGACCGAAAGGTATTCCGTGGAGCTTCATTACTCAGGGACTTGTAAGTATAACGATTAATTTACTCAATTTAATTTGAAAATGATACAAAAGGAATGAGAAGAAATGAGATACAGATGGAGAAGCAAAAGGTACATGTTTGAAAGATATCATTTATGAAAACTAAAATGTTCAATTAACATTTAAAGGACAGAGGAGTGACAAAGATGTCAAATTAGTACATGTAATATGATATTTTTAACATGCTAGATGTCATCTCTCCCCTTTTGTCCCTCCTCTTTCTCACTTTTTCTCTTCTTTCTCTTCTTTTTCTTTCCTTTTTCTCTTTCTCAACTATGCAAAGCCCCCCTTTCTCTGGCTTCTTTTCTGTTTTGCAAGGCTAACCAAAATGCATTCACCAACTGTGGAATTAGAATTAGTGAAAGAGAAAATGTTACCTCCCAAATCCTATAAAATGTTACTTTCCCCTGCCTCAAATAGATCAAAATACAATTCAGCCTCTTCAATGAGATTTAAAATAGGAGCTTATGTACATTAGCACATAAGCATACATAATTAAGCAGTATTGATGCCATTCTTGACAGGACCTACCCTGTAATTACCTTCTAAATATTGATATTCTGCTACTGCCCCCATCTTGTATACAATGCGATTAAAAGGTTTAGGATTTACCGGTGCTTGATATTTTACAATAAGGAGGGCTCAGTTCCACCAGCATACATACCAAACAATGGGAAGACATAGCAATTAGTATGATATACTTGCGTCATGCAAATTTGCGATTCATGTAAGGTTGCAAAGAGGTACCTAGGAAAGATATCTTAGCATTCCAAGGACATTCTTAAATAGATTTTCATCACTGCATGTCTGTTTGGTCATTCCCGGCTGAAGTCATATGATTCCATGATTGATATGAAAGGGGACCAGTTGCTCAAAATATCTGTCCCTGAATTTTGGGGTTTGTCAGTATGTAAATTTCAAAGAATTATCTTTAAATATTACTTCTTTAAAGAGGTATTTTGATGACTAGTTCCTTTTAAATATATTAAGGCCCCTGTTTAATAAAACTTACAAGTGAAGTTAACTTTGTCATCAATATCAACTATCATGGCATCTTCAAATCAAGGTTTCCGTGGAAGTTACCATTAATGGCAACATTTCCATCAATGGGAAGTTTCATGCAACAGCGAGGGCCCTAACGTTTTAAGCTCCTTCCCATCAATTCATAATGGGTTGATTAATCTCAATCAGGATTAATGGAATAAACATTTCAAAGAATGTATCAGCAGTATGTTTGACATTATTCAAGATTAATTGAACTCTGCACTTTGAGTAGTCCAGATTAGCTACGACTTTTGTGAGCGGAAGACCATTCATGTCACATTTCTCCTTCAAACACAAAGAATAATTTTATAAAAGATTACCTCCTATTTATCACAACTATGTAAATGTTGATCCCTTGAAAGCAAATAAATCATACTCTTGAATAGAAGAAAAGCTACTTTTATCATAATTACTGTTCAAAACTATTGTATTTTAATCTGATGGGAGTTCCCAGATATATGCTTTACAAACCTTTCTACATTTTGTTTCCGTTTGTTTTGTTTGATTTATTTCCATAATCGGGCTACACAGTTTCTTGTAGAGAGACAGGAACAAAGTAAAATAGACACAATAGGGGTACTACAGAAAGAGTCTGGAGGGGGGAGGGGGGGGGGCGGTGTCAGGGAAAGAGGGAGAAGAAAAAGGAAGGAGATCGGTTTATCATAGACAGAATGAGAGAGATATGACCCAAAAAGCCAAAAGGCTGTTTATGTCTTTCTTGATCTAAAAAGTATGAATTACAAAACAAAAAGTTAAATCAAATCAGGTGGGAAAATTGTAGTTTATTCAATTTTTAAAAGCGAACTCATCTTCATGATGTAATAGAAATTTGTTAGTTATTTATTTCCAATCAATTTTTCACTAGAATGAAGCACTGGTTATATATCAATTCCAATGTCAATCATCAAATTCCAACTGTCTATTAAATAATCATTATTGAGAAATCATTTTTTATTAATCCACTTTTGTTTGCTCTCTCTCTTCTACAGGCGGCTACACAACAATCAAATCCTCTGCATTATGAGTGGCTCCTTCAGACCTCTCAAACTCATTGAAACTCTGTAAGTATTGAATGATATTAACCCTTTACCTATTGGTAATGGGTGGCTACTGTATTAAGCATATGGGAATGAATGAATTCAGTAATCAAGGGTTTAAAGCCCCACTGCACCACTTATAGGTACTTGCGTCCTCTATATAGCAAACAAAGCCTAATTGGTGACCATTGGTCCCCCATGATCCCCTTTTTCTTATGTTAATTGAGAGCTGATTTGATGAGATAACCACCTGTCCGTGACCATGCAGGGAGGTCTAATCCCTCCTGGCCAAACTAGTGCAGAGGGGCTTTAAGATCAATCCTATCCTCCCAAAAGACAACATTTATCTGAGCTTCATCATCTCCCCATAGTATGTAACCTACATGTGTACATTACGGTATTGCCATGTATATACCAACACCACAGACTTTGAGGAACATTCCTACACTATACACCGATTCGGGCGACTTCTGGTGGAAGTGCGCCTTCATAAGGTGACGCCATAACTGGGGGGCGTCTGACTGCAGCTAGCTAGCTTACATTGCAACGGGTATGCTATACCTATACCGAACCTCGCCCAGGCCGGCCAGGGTCGCTGCTCCGCTAGCTAGTAACCGCTCTCGAGCTCTCTGTACTGTCAGCTGGATCGGAGAAGCCCCCCAGTTATAGCGCCGCCACCGGCGGGCAGGTACATAAAACCCCCAAACCGAATCGGTGTATAGTGAGTCACTGCTCATGCTGTTTCTACTTTGTAATCATGGTAATTGTTTCATTATCCTAATGGGCTGGCGATTATACCAAGCTCTTAAATAACCTTCCCCAACCAAATACACATTGCACATAATCACCAAACATAACAGAAGGGGAATGTACACGTATCCATGTTCACTCCAATTCATTGGACTGCATATCTTGGAATCCACCACTCTCACACATTGCATCAACCCCTCACCAGGCTATATATTTCAAAATGGTTTATTTGTACAACATTCACATGAAGAAGAAGTGATTGATGGTTAGGCAAACTGTCAATCACTTGAATGTTATGATTTTGATTACTTGTATTTGTAAAGCATAATGCTATGATAACGTTCATCAAATTTTGGCTTCACGAAAGAAAAAAATGGTGAGATGGATTATGATTGGGGAAAGCTCTTTTAACACTTATTTATTCATTTCCAGTTTTATTAAAATAAATAAATAAATAAATAAATAAATAAATAAATAAATAAATGTATGCTTAGGAACTGAAACATGTTCAAAGGAATGAGCTGAAAGTGATATCTTGCTGTAAAAACGCAGGATGATTTTTCTGAAAATGTTTTCAGTTGATTTTAAAGATTCCATTAAGATGTTTCTTTCACACTAAACACAATCACAAACAATTTCAAGAAATCAACCTGTGACAATTTTAATAGATGTGTGAACATCACCTATTGCGATGTGTGAACATAACAATGACATTATGTAATAAGAACATGATGATGTAGGTAATACAATATGGCAATGAAATAACTCTGAAGTTATTTCTTTTAAAGTTTTTACAAACTTGTATCCCAGTTCTTTGGTCCTTTTTCCCAGTCACTTTGTCAAAGCTATGGGAACACACCTTTCGCAGCTGTGTGAACATACCTTCCTCAGTTTCACCCCCGAATATGATCCATATCTCATTGAAACAACCCGGGAATGATGGGAGAAACCCCATTGTTTATTGACGGAAATCAATTGATTAGAGTGGAAGGATAGGGATGTAATTAAGGCAGTGTTATAATGATATTTCACAAAGGACATATTGACTCCCTTATTGATTTAAAAGAGCGAGCTCTTAACTTAATGGTAATTCAATTTCGAGACTGTCGTTGTGCAAACAATAATTGTAATATAGCAAATTAAAGGAATAGGATGTTCACATTTGAAATTTCACATGTAGTGTATGTATTGCATTAAAAACTTAATTGAATTAAGAACTTTGCTACAAGCAAGACACAATTTAGACAAGATCAGTAGTACGTGGTCCGAGTTGATGATAGTAGAAATTCTAATTGGATTTGGTTGTTACTGCTGTATCAAAAAGTTGCAGTTGTAATGTCCTTTCCTTAACCATTGAATTTTGCTGTATAATAAAAGAGTAGGAAATGGAGCTACTTTGTTAAATATCCGAGTGCATAATGGTCATTAGATTGAAATTTCTTTTTTTTAAAATTATATCTTTGTCCATTTCCCAGTTTTACCTATTCCGTTGTATACCCAGTGTATACTTAGAGGCATATGCTTCAAAGTGCATTTTAGTTTTGGAATAAAACCTTTTGAATTACTGCATTGTAACACTCCTACTTTGTGCATATCCCTGAAATAAAAATGAAGACTTGAATAATTGAGAAGGGACAGGGTGTGTTTGCTGTTTTTTTATTTTCACGATGCGTAAAATTTTGTCCCGTGTTTAATGGTATCATCATCTTCATTTCAATTAAAATGATAATTCTGGTTAAGATGGGAATATGGTCCAATGACTATATCCGCTAGAAGGCTCCCGGTCTATCCTTTTAACCTTCAAGGAGACAAATTTCAATAAGTTCATTACGAGGGCACGGTCTAATTTGTGCGAGTTATCTCATTCATCGACTTAGGAGTCTGTCTAGCTCTCTCCCGTGGAAGGTAATCGATAGGTCAGAGAATTCTGGGATATGAGAGCTGACAGAAACATGGATAATTGGTTCCATTGGTGACCTGTCTGAAGGATAGATCAATTCATGATCGTTGTTCACAAAAATGATTAAAGCAGTTTACTAGAAATATGAAATTTCAATTTATTGACAAAGCAAGTTTTTTCTTCTCATTTTACCATTGATGTACATGGTATTATACCAGTATGTGACAAACTTTACCCAAAAAATGTTCTTGAAATAAAAAACGTTGATAAAAATAGATTTCTAGATTTTTCTAAGGTTTAAACTCTCCTTTAATAATAAAACAAAGAATCCAATTGAAAATGGTGCAATAATCCCTTTTTCTTAAAGAGGAACCATTAATCTTAAGTTTTCGCAGAGGGTTTTGCAATGGTTTTTGCAATGGTGATGATGATGTTATTTTCTTCAAAATATTTTGAAAAGCAATACAAGGAAATGCATACTCGCACAAGAATTCATCATGTTTCTGTCTCAATTTTTGTTTCTTAGATATCTGAATGACAACAATTTGACAACGCTCAGCAGTAGCAGCTTCACACATATGAGTTTCCTCAAACAACTGTAAGTTGATTATTATTTATTTTAAAAATTTGCTTATACACTTAAAAAGTATATGATCATTATAAAGAACAAAAACTATGTATATGTTTCAGGTTATGACTTATGAAAATGGTTTACAGTATTTTGAAATCTGTTTGAATTTTTATGAAATGAATATATGCTTTTATACTGGTATTAAAAAAAAAAGAGTCTTCCAAACTTCTTTTGTAACTTTTAAAGAGTTGAAGATATTGATTGTCATTCTAGCTATCCTTTAATCAAGTAGTTGTAAAAGCTGACAATTATTTAATGGTGATATTATTAGAATTTGAAGCTTGTCCTACCTGAATGGTAAGAATCTGATATATTGAGAAGAAGTGAGATTGAGTGAAGAGATAGTTTACTTCTATAGTGTCTTGTTTTCACTTTTTGCTGTGTCAGAAAAGAAAAATATATATATTCAACATCACTGTTTGATGGGAAATTTGAAAGATATGGCATGCTTTTTATTTGTTTGAGATGTATCACTGTACTCCATGAAATACGATTTGATACATGTTGTATGCTCTGAACTAATTCAGATTGTAGAATTAATGGATATGTGTTTGAGGTGTCTTATTCACTTACAATATCATGACATATGATTTGATGTTGTATGCTGTGAAGTCTGAACTAATTCAAGCGGTAGATTTAATGGAAATGTGTTTGGGGTGTCGTATTCACTTACAATATCAGCATTGAAGTGTGAGAGATGATTTTAAACTGAAAGGTTTCTTCTGCAAATCTCTTTTCATGAAAATATACCTTCCCAAACGTCTTGTCTGTTTCCTAAGAACGCGATGGGTAACCACTGTTTGTGTTGGGTAATTTAAGCATCTCTCGGATACACATGTACATACATCAATGTCTTCTCTTGCAGATCAATCTATATTTGTTTCCATTAAGGCTGTTGTCATGTTTGACTTAAATTTGAGAACATGATCTGTTTTACGTTCAATATTATTTGAGGAGAGGAAGATTTGGACACGCTATGTTTGTTGTTTCAAAATTATGACACTTTTTAAATCAATCTATACATGTATTTGTTTCCATTGAGCCTGATGTCTTGCTAGAGAACAGGATGTTTCATGTTTAATATTTATCTAGGAGAGGTAGATTTGGACAAATATGTTTGATGTTTCAAAATTATGACACTTTCTAAATCAATCTTTATTTGTTTCCATTAAGCCAGATGTCTTGTGAGAGAACATGATACTGTTTCATGTTTAATATATATCTAGGAGAGGTCGATTTGGACAAATATGTTTGATGTTTCAAAATTATGGCACTATCTAAATCAATCTATATTTGTTTCCATCAAGGCTGATGTCATGTTCGACTTAACTTAGAGAATATGATTCTGTTTCATTTTCAATATTTATCGAGGAAAGGAAGATTTGGACATGCTATGTTTGATGTTTCAAAACTTTGACACTTTCCGAATGAAGATGGGAGATAAAATTGAGCCTCAAATGGGAAATGGAAATGGATGATATACAATATTGATTTTTATGTCGAAACGTGTCAAAATGCAAATTACATTTACAGAATAACGGTAGTTATGAATTTCAGTCAAGGTAGGAAATAAGTGAAAGTATTAACAAAAAAGTTTGAATGTAATTTTATATTGAACTACTTTGAGGAGAGTTTTGACAATGTTTTGAATAACAGTGGGTTAGAATACAACATGATTCTCTGAAATCATGTAAGTTTAGATACAAGTACTTCTGCATTTGATACATTTATGGTAATGCAAGTGTAGTGATTTAGGTTTAGAAAACTTAGATGCACCAAGAAAATTAAACTTTCCACCAAATCAATGGCCATGATCAATACTGCGTACTACCGTTAAGGCCATAAGAATAAAATTTAGAATGTCATCTCAGTTCTTGCATGTACTTTAGTGAGATAGTAATTATCATCAAGGCTTTTTTGTAAGCACTCTTCTACAAAATAAAAAGAAAAGAAAATAGATAAAAAGACCTGTGACGTTTGCATGTAGTTAAGAACAGATCAAGGGAATAAATAAAATTTCAATGCCACCTCCGACTCTGATGGGGATTTTTAGTTGTCTTGTTTGGTTTTGACGTCACCGAAACCGTACCCTAATTGGACGGGGGACGAAGGGGTTAGGAGAAGTGATGAAAACGAGTCGGTGAATGAAGTCACATGATAGTCCTGTTGAAAATTGCTCCATGCGATAGTAGGATAGATACCTGTTCAGACAAAACACTATTAGCTTGGTCACGGTCACCGACCTTTGATTGCGGTGTAACACCATGATGATTGAAGTGAAGAATAGTCGCTTTAAATGCATGGGGAAAACGTGTAGCAACTGATCGGTAAAGACATTCATCTGATAAGTGCGTGCTCAAGACAGAGAAGATAATATTTTTCATTTCACAAGTTGTAAAAAGAAGTCTTCCTTGAAACTAAAGCTATCTCTACAGGCTGAATTAAGAGACAAGAGCAGGGAAAACAGTGCACACAAATTTGGAATTGTTTTGTCAGATGAAGGAAGCAATGATTTGAGAAATAAGGAGGTCTTGGATGATTTGACTTTTAGTTCCAAATGATGCAAAACACAAATGATAACTTGTGGGTAAATCGGCTGAAATAAATATTGAATATTTCCAGGTTTTTCAAAAATTGTGTTAATTTGTCTTCACATGAAATTGAAGGAGAAAGAAAAAGAAAGAGTAGACTTTATTTTTGAGGTGGCCGAATTATATTCAAACTCACTAACAATAGAACTGAAACTGGATTTAGTATGTTCAGTTTGTTGTGAACATAAAGACAAGTATGCCACTATCAGTTTATGTTACCTTTCGACTTAACGCTTAAGTAGTATTTAATCAATTGGATACAATTTCATTTTTATATACCATATAGCATGTATTTCCCAAAGAATCCAGTCCAAGTTTTCCCCAGCTTCTTGTTCAATAGGTCAAGTGAATATGGATAGTTAGCATGATTTTTCATATTTTACTTTTAAATCTTAAACTTGTTTTTGACTACTTCAGGAGACTTTCCAAGAATCCATTGGCTTGCGACTGTCATCTGAGTTGGCTGGCTCTTTGGTTAAGACCCCACATCCATCTTGGTCTCTTCACCACCTGCGAGACCCCTCGACAGCTTCATGGACTCAAGGTGGCTGAACTACAGACTAGTGACTTCAGATGTACAGGTATGATTGATAATGATGATGATGATGGTGATGATGATGATGATGATGATGATGATGGTGATGATGATGATGATGATGATGATGATGATGATGGTGATGATGATTATGACAATGCTGGCAAGTTGGTTTGCTCTATGTTTAAGACCTAACATCCATCTTGGTCTCTTCACCACCAGTGAGACCAATAGCATCCAGAGCATATATGAAAACCACTCTTAATTTTGTTTTAAGCCTAACATTTTAAATTGTAATGATGATTTTGAATTAAACAAACAAACTTTTTGCTGCTAAATTTAGAGGTTAGTTTACTTTCTTTGATTTCCTCTTCAACCCTTTGTTTTGTGAGTAAAACAACATCAACAAGTATTTGAAATATTATTGAAAACATTTTAAATCACTTACTTATGGATAAGATTAGTTACTTTTCACTTTTGAAATTTTGTATTACATTGGAAAGCTTGTGGGCCTGACTCCTGAGTATTACAGTATTTGTCTGCATGTAGCGATAGGTAGGAAAGTTTGAAAACAGACTCTACGGTGTATATCATCACCTGTTTGTGACGAGGTTCAAAGTGACAAAATTAGAAAGCTTCACCCTAAATCGCTATTGGCAATTACCACGCCTGCTCTGCTGTCTGTGGCCTAGCAGGGCTTAAGCATGAATATTTCAAAACCTATCTTGCTGATGACTGATGACCAATTCTAACCTTGAAATCGTTCCAACTTGACTCCTGCCAGAGAGAGAGAGAGAGAGAAAGAAAACTGGCTCCGAAATTCCCAACAAAAGCTATGATTCATATATCATCGTCTCCCATGAAATGATATCAGAGGAATTTCAGAATTTGGTGTCACTTGGCCCCAGCTATTGGGAATTCATGACTAAAGTATAATGCAAGGTAGAAATACAACCCATTTCCGCTTGCATGGCGGTGCTCGGTTGTCATGGTTACTGAGTTTGGCTGGGGCCGAGCTGAAGAGGAGTTCTAAGTGATAATGTGTGTGTTTAGGAGCAGCTGTGGATGGGAAGGGTTGAGGGGCACTTTTAGAAAGAGGAGGACTAGCAGGGGTGTAGGACCTTTGGACTGTTTTGAGTTTTAACTGTCTGGAAGTAATATGATGGTGTATGTAAATGAGTGCAATACTTGTTTCCCCCATCTCTCTCTCTCTCCACCTTACCCTCTCCCACTCCCTCTCCCACTCCTGCCTCTATTCTCCCTCTGTCTCCTTTCTCCCTATCTTGATCTGTACCTCTATCGTTCCCTCTGCCCCATACTTTTTCTCTACTTCCCCCATCTTCTTTTGTGTTTGGAAATATGTACTTGTTACACTCATCAGTATTCTCATCATTTTTCTCCTTATGTTCTTCCCCTTCCCATTTCATTTCTGAAAATATTTGCATCAACCTCTTTTTCATTTTCTTGTCCCAACTCTCTCCTCTCTTTCTCTCTACCTCCCCCCTCAAGTGTTCTCTCCATCATTCTTGTTCAAATATATTTTCACAAAGTCTTGTATTTTTTTAATCGATCACTCCATGTCATGCTGAGCCCTTTTCCCCCCTCTTTCCCACTTTTTAACAAGGCTAATAAAACCTCTGTATCCTTGCTATTAGTTGATGAGTAAGAGTCATAATAATTTAATTGTCATGTTTCTTTAATGCAAGTGTGTGTGAGAGAAATACATGTAGTACAGCCAACATGGTTCACATATGAAGCAGACAGTTGGACAAAGAGCCTTTTCTCCCATTTCCATGTGCCTGTTTGTTGGTTTTATGTTGTTGTTGTTGTTGTTTTTTGGGGGAGGGGTGATACGAGGGCTGGGCAGTGATCATGTTCTAATATTCCTATGGAGGTTCCACTCATGCTCTCATGAAATCCGATCCACAGTTAATTTTCATACGATAACTGAATTTCTAAGTGCAACCCTTCACCAAACACTACAATTTGCCCTCAACCCTAACAATAAACCTACCCTAAAACTCAATTGCACCCCCAACCCTGCCCCTACATGTATGTCTTTGACGAGGAAATGCCTCTGGAGGAAAAATTGAGACACTGTATTAAGAGGGATACCTGTCCAATAGAGCTTGCATTCAGAAAGAGTCATCAGAAACTTGTTTTCACCCCTAGATGGCGTCACCATATTTCACTTCAACACTTGTTAGTGAGACATTAATTGTCATATCACTTTATCGAATGATTTACACATCTTGTGGGCCTCACACTGGTGATTCAAGAGTGGAATAAAGCATCAAAGATGTGATGGCGTCCCTTTAATTTTAAAGTAGCAATGATCTTGAGAGGAAGCCCGTATACAAGTGATGGCCGTTTTATGGGTTTGGGTTATTATAAATCTAGCAGATTATTGTTACAAGTCATTACATATGATTGAAAACAGGGACCACTTTTATTGCCTCCTAAGGTCTCACATGGAATATAAAAGTTTATAGAATTGGCCTTTTGAGATATATTACTTTCTCTCATATAAGCTTTAGACACAGCTGAATCACATATAAGATTTAATGCCAGGGCTAATTGTATACACAAGTGTTGAAAAGTGCTAAAATATCAATTTCTTAATCATAGACCCCTGTTCACATGGCCCGCGCTGGCCTTGTTCAGATTGGCGTAGTCTGCACATATATTATATACATGAAGATATCTTCATAGAACATAAAGGTCTAAAATTGAAACGTTCATTGTAAAACATATTTGTATAGGATAAGGTCAAGGAAAAAAGAGAAATGAAAATAAATGTTTCATAAAAGCAAAACAGGTTCGTCGCAAAATGTTCAATATTGCATTTAAATAATACATCTTTCACAGGAGTAGGGTGAAGAAAAAAGAAAAAAAAAGAAAAAAAAAATGATATTGTTGTTGTTGTTGTTTATTTGTGAATATTTATGCCAAGGTAAAAACATGATAGCAATTCAAAACCCCATTGTATGTTCCATAAAAATCATGTTTAGATTATGTATTACACATGTCAATTGTCATGTTCGCACATTTCAATAGGTGACGCACAAGGCTATTAAAATTGCCTTAGGTTGATATAGAATAGGTTTGACCCAAGCTTTTGAACATTTGACAATCTTGTTTCTTTTTTAAAAAAAATACATAAAATACTTTATGTTGGAGTCTAATCTTTTCAAAAACCTCTCAAAAATATAATTTGAGCCTCAGAGCCGCTCCTCTTTATCCCTTTCACCTGCGTTGATAATCCGACACCATCCTTGACACCTTGTGTGTATACCTGTCAAAATGTTGCCAATTTGCCAACACTTAAGTGAATGATGGACGGTTTCACTTTCTTATTATGATCATAAAGAAAGGTACAAATTCAAAAAATGAATGAAAAATGCTTTTAAGGTGGCAATTAAGTGCCAAACTTAATGTTTTCTTCCTAACAAATATCAAGATTTCGTCAAGTGGAAGTACTTTTACGACTTGGAAATGGCTGTTGAATGCTCAAATTAGCATTCTTACCGTGATGATAGAATTAAAGGTGAGGGATGTACTAAGATAAAGTATTAGAATTGGCATAAGTCATTGAAAGTGCTATATTTGACTCCCAATTTCAATTTTCAGATCCTTAAGATTTGAATTCACCAAAGGAATGTACTTAAGAACAGAAAAGAGTTGTTTTCCTGATTATTCAAGGATAGATTTTGGATAGATGTAAATATTAGATCTTTATAATTACATGTATTCATTTTTTTAAACAAATCAGTTACTTTTGTCCTCCCTATAGATATTCCTTTGTCAGCATAAATAATTTCATTTAGTTTAGCATTTATAAAAGTAATGAGAGTGGGCTAGACTGGTCCTAGCTCGATCCTGTAGTTCTACCTATGTCAGCATCTCTTTAGCGGAGTGAAGGCGAAATCCCAGTGTATTCGGCATACCTACCTGTCAGACCCAGCCATCTAAAGCAAGCAGGCACTTGGCACTCAATCTCCACCAATCACTTTCCCCTCTCCACCATCACCCCTCTTGCTCCCCGGAAAGCTCCGTTCCCTCGGCTCCACCCTGTACCCTCCCAGACCAACCGGGTGCGGTGCGCAGCCCCTCCCGCCTGTAAGCTACCATCTCTTTTAAGTTTTGATCTCCAGCAAAGGTTGGAACTGAATAAGGGGAGTGGGCGTGGGGGATGGTATAGACCAATTGGACTCTAATCACATGACTGAAATGTTGGTGATATGACAGGCAAGACATTTGTATAAATTGAACAAATTTCTATTTTAATTCTGTAATTTAACATATGGAAATTTTAGAAACTGGACCACTCACTAAATTCTTGAGAACTACAGGCATATGGAGAAAAATTCTGTCTTGATAATATGTCTGTTAATGATACATTTTTTTTGTTGTAGATACCTCATGAATGGATGTCTGCGATTTAAGGTCTACACATTTAGAGTAGGGGTAGTGGGTTCAACCCTAAGCATCCCTTGTGTTTTGTAGAAGAAGAGGGATTCAGGGCGAGTTAACCCAATCTACCCTCCGTTGAGGTATGTAATTTGGGGGTAAATTTTGGAGTTGGGGTAGTGGGTATACACCCCTAAGGATCCCTTTTTTTGTTAAGAGTAGAGAGGGGGTCAGGGCAGGTTAACCCGCTCTACCCTCCCCATGCACGCCTCCAGCGGGTCTCATCTGGAGCGCACCTGGCTTGATGGGGCTGACAAGCCCTGCTAGTCTGGACGCAGAGACTCTCTCTATGTCTGCATCACCTTGATGCCCGTCTAGATGCAGGGACAGAAGGCCTGTCCTCATCAGACTGAAGTTGCAAAATAACCTGCTATTTTCAGACACGGGATATTTTCTCTGAAGTTTAAAACTGCGTCTTCACCAGACTGATACTCTCATCGTTAACTAGCTTGGACGGGCGCAAATTAGCGGCTATCTTGGAAACAAAACCAATAGTTCCTGGGATACTTTCTTGACCAAATAATCCGCTTATTGCAACTGCGGGATGATAAAGATGCAAAAAAGCTGGCTGATTTGAGATTGGGCTAGTTAAAATAGCGGGTTATTTTGCAACTTTGGTCTGATGAGGACAGGTCTATACAGACTTCATCTGCAAGGCTTATTCACTGTCACACCCAAGTCTGATTTTGAAATTCCTCCAAAGTTCTCCACCTCATAATAAGGGAGTAACACACGCAAGCAGCTAGGGACATATGCTATGATTCTGCTTGACATCCATTTTTAGTTGATTTCATTATGATTAATATTCATGTTTACCTGAGTACAATAATACATTGCAGGTAAAGAACCAGGGGACCAGCAGATTTGCATCCTACTAGAGGGACATGGTTATAAATGTCAAATAAAACTGCATTGCTTGAACAGTGCACAAAGCTATGAATATTTAGAATTAATCATACAAACTCATAGGATGACAGATTAATATGTGTGCAATGTTTGGAACGGGGAGCAAATTATTTCTGAAACATCTATTTCATTATTCAATCCAGCTAAAATGATGAAGAAGAAAGATAAAAATAGAAAAGGACAGAATAGAAAGAATTCAATAAAATGATATCCAAGAGAAATAGAGAGAGAGAGGGGGAGAGAGGGAGAGAGAGAGAGAAAGATAGAGGATAGGCAGAGAGACAGAGACAGACAGAGAGAGACGGAGAAAGAGATAGATGAATACAAATCCAATTGTACAGGTTACCGAGAAATGTGAAATCGTAGCTTGGAGGCAGACACCGATTCAGTAACACCTTCTACAAAAGAGCTCGCCGCTCAAATCTGATTTTGCCATCTCGCCTCGGCCTCTTCGGCTCTCCTCAGGCGGAGAAACCTCGGAGGGTAGAAAATTATCCCCCCTCCACCACCAGCATCCATGTATGGGCTCGCTGGTGAATCAATGGAATGAGGTATGATACTCATCGTCATGGATACTTGTAATGGGTCTTCCGTTTTTCCTCCTCTATTCATCTTTTCCCCGAGTTTAAACACCTCTAAATGCATCCATGCATCTCAGCATTGATGCATCTTCCATTTCTTGTTCACAATTTTATTCCGGCATCGATTTTCTTCCTAATGTGCCTTTCTTTCTTGTTTCTTGCTGTTGCTTACTGATACATGACTCATGTATTTGAACAAGATTTTCTGTCTACCCAGAATTTTGTCACCCTGTATTATGTAGGTGATCCAATTTTCATATCTCTGTCTTCCGTTTCATGTTTACCGACACTTCTATATATTTTGAATCATACTGTTAGTCATAATATTTGGAAACTTCTTCTCTCTTAAAAATTCCTTTGCTTGCCCATTTAGAGGGTTTCAAATCGGCAGGGCTGTTTTTATAGGATGTGCATACTTCAAAATATACAGTTTTTATCTTCAAATATATCTCCTATTTGCAGCTTTCAGAGTCAAACAGAAACACCTACATTCTTGAATTATGTTTCAGTATGATATCAGTGTATTGGGAAATAGTAGTGACCGTGACCCTCAAAGTAGTCTATATTTGTATATTTTAGTGTAATCATTATCTTGTAATTTCCATGGTAAGTTTGGGATGAAACCATCAGAGTCACAATATAATTACCATCTTTCAATCAAAGAAAACATTTGTTAAAAAAATACATCTTTTGCTTGTAGTCTGTCCCTTCACTGTATATGAGTGTGTCGACCTGTTAGTGTGTACCTGGCATGCGTTTGTTGGTTATTCTCTTTCAATACTTCAAAATGTGTGCCCTAGCTAGCCCTGTCTGCAGTAGAAACCGATATCCATTCGCCTTGTGGCAAAACAAGAAAGTTAATCGTTGGGGCTGCGAAATTCACACTATCCCCATGAATGGAGCGATACTGTTACCCAGAACTGTTGACATCCTTTAGAGTTAGTAGCGACTGCCTGCAAAGCAAATGTACAAAGAAATCAGGCCAGAGATGTTATTACTCTTACTTTTCGAGAAATTGAAGGAAAAAATGGCTCACTTTTTCTAAAAGTTTACTCTGCATATCTTCTCATTTCCTCACAAAAGAACCCACAAACATCGTCCGTTGGAGTCAGGATTTTTTGTATTGATCAGACGTGTTCTTGATACCATGTTTCTAAAATGAAATGAGATTTGCGGTTGGCCAAGCGCTGTAAGCGGAGAACAATGGAAGTGTCTGGGGTACGTGCTGAACGGACCGCTCTCGATTTCCACCCACTAAGCATGGCAAACATGAAATTCTCTCTTCCCGGTCACGTCTTCCTGATGAAGACTGGGGAAATTATTATCCTTCGTCAAATGCAAGTGGCAGGCATTCCATATTTAGCTACGTTGATTCTCATGGATGAAATAGATCATGTCTATTACCTCAAATCCTTCTTTTTAATGAAAATCATTGTCAAACATCATTGCTATAATCTAGTTTCAGATGAATTTGTTGCTTTCAGAAGTCAAACAGAAAATGTGGTTTTGCAGACATGTGTCTTCTTTTCTTTGCCTATAAAACCTCCCCATGCTCGTTACTCTTTTCAGTTACCTTCTTCTGCACAGGAAAAAGAATGAAAATGTATAGCCATAATTATACATAAACATACACTATCTTTAATCTTGATAGATGTTTTTGTCATTTTTGACATGGAATTATGATCAAGATGTATGATACATTAAAGAATTCTGATAAATGTATGTTGTTAGATTTACTTGTATGACTCATCCAAGAGGTATTAAACTGTGACACAATGATAAGCCATTCTGTTGAATAAAGATATTATTACTAGATAATTGATAGTTCTATTGCTATTTTTTTGACAGGTAATGAGAACCATGAGGCATTGTGTGAAGTGGAACCGCTTTGTCCAGCGAAGTGTGAATGCACCTCTAAGTCAGTGGATTGCAGGAACAGAGGACTCACCGAGTTACCCTTCACCTTCCCCTATCATATGATGGAACTGTAAGTACTTCTTTCTTTATCTTTTCACATATGTGTAATTTTTTATTTGTTATTCATTCAATTGTTTGTTTGTTTGTTTGTTTGTTTCTTCCTTCCTTCCTTCCTTCCTTTCTTCATTCATTCATCCATTCATCCATCCATCCGTCCATCCATCCATCCATCCATCCGTCCATCCATCCATCCATCCGTCCATACACCCACCCACCCTTCCATCCCTCCCTCCCTCCCTCCCTCCCTCCCTCCACCCACCCACCCATCCCTCCCTCCATCCATCCACCCACCCATCCATCCCTCCCTCCATCCACCCCTCCATCATCATTCTTTCATTCATTCATTCATTAATTTCTAGTTATCAAATGCATGTTTCATCTGCTTGAAGCGAGAAACAAGATATTGACTGCTTAGAGCCAAAAGGGCATTAATTAACTCTTTGTTAAATCATATGAGATAATGCCTGTTGGCTCCAAAGAGACATCACCCTTGTCCCTTTAACATTGGCCTTCAGCAGATAGATTCATCATCCATCTATCAATGGCCGGAAGGGCATAAAACTTGTATGATATTTTGTTGGGTACTGAAGAGTTACACCCTTCTGGCTCTCAGAGGGGCAACATCATTTAAGATATTGTGTAATAATAATAATAATAATAACCTTAATTAAAGTCCACTCCAAATTTTATTGAACCGAACCAGAAATTCTTTTTGCCCAATTGATTGTGAGCCCGGCAGCCACTGAGCAGCGCCAGATCGACGTTTCTCTATCCCTTATTGTTGGACGCCAAACAAGGTAGCAACAACTCCCATCTTTTAATGTCTTTTGGTATGACGTGACCGGGTTTCGAACCCACGACCTCCTGCTTGTGAGGCGGACGCTCTACTGACTGAGCCAACATAGCGGTTGTAAATACTGCTGATGGAAAGAATAAATACAAAAAGATGCATAATGTTATATCATGGACCACCTGTAGAATTATGTATAAATAATGTTTCTGGCATGAACCGCCTTGCAGGGTTAATTGGCAGGGATTGGCTCTAGTGTTTCATTAACATCTTTTGACAAGATATTGTTCAAATACTTTTTCCAAGAACACAATTCTTCCATTACCAAGAACAGCTAGAAATTTCCTGCACTTGTGAACTTGATCCGTCATGAATATTACGAAGGAAACGAATGTGTGAACAGAAAACAGGATTGGAGAAATATAAATGTAAAACTTGATTTTGTTATGATGTAGACATATTTGTTAGAGTCTTTGTATACCTGGAGCTCACCTGAGAATTCCAAACACCAGGTGTGGTTTGAACAACTGTGAAAACATTTGAACAAGCCCCCAAAATATTTCCTCTTCATTCTTTTCAAGGGAGCAGTGATATTCCTGGGAATTAGACGACTTGGAGGAAAATACAAATCGTAAGATTAGCACTAGGCAAATTGATTGAAATCCACCAAAAATTATAGGAAAGGGTCTTGAATCTTGTTGAAGTGGGAAAAGCTGAGCAAAGTCAGTCAATATCGAAAATTCTCTTGAATTTGTTAAGAAATGAGGAAGACTGGGGAACAACTGTTGACAAGTCACAGGCAAAGTGTTTGGCCGTGAACTTGAGTGCCTGTTTGCTCGGTGTGTATATAATTTTGGTAAGAGCAAATTGGTTTTGATATCCCAGAAGGAAATGGCAATATTGGGTAAGAATAGAGAGAAAGGAGGTTTATTCTTTGTTTCCACAAGGCAAACTTGCACCTGTCCCTCCAAACAGCATGTGTACCCTTCGGCCGGTGGGTGGGACTTCCAAGTTGCCACAGTTGCGATTGGGGTTGGTGCGGAAGCACTTATAGATTCTTCCATCTATCCTGTCAAACTTGACACTCATGTTCTTCCATCATTTCTAATTGAAACTGTGGGGAACAGCAGTGTGAGCTAGGCAACCGTCTTTCCTAGAAGTGTGACAGAGCGAAAAAGAGGAAAAGGTCCCGGAATGATGTAGGAAGTTTTGATATGTGAAAAGTAATCAACTTTGACAAAAGACGACCGAAAACACAGTTGACACAATCAGCATGTTAGTAGTCTGATTTTGAAACTAGCTTCATCATTTTAGAAAGTATTCAAACAAGTTGACAATTGGAGAATCATATGAAGGGGTGGGGGCTGTTAACAAGAGTACCCTAGAAGTTTTGTTCCAAAAGTACAAGTGACATTCCAAAGTACAAATTATTCATAGCGTCACTACATGAAATATGACATCACTCATCATTTCCATCAGTTTAAAGGAAAATCCACCTGTTTAATATCAAGGTAGGCCTAGTATAAAATATCATAATGTCATAGTTTTTACTATTTTCCCTATAAGTTATCCCAGTAATGTAACTGAGTTGCATCTTGGCTTGTCATAGATGAGCAATGCCATTGTATTCCCAATTTGATGTTGAACATTACATTATAATGTGATAGTTTTTACGATTTCCTGCATTCATCATCCTCTTATGTAAGTGACTCACGTGTTGGCTTGTCAGTATAAAACTTGGAAGGTTCATCATTTGTATCATCAACAGCAGCATGTATTGAATCATAGAAATCAATTTCCTAGAAGTGTTAGCAAGATATGGGGTCAAGACACTTTGTTATTTCAACTCTGATTAAAGTCATAGAAATATTTTCTTGGCAGGATAACATTTTATTGAGAATTGTTGAACTGTGACATTGTGTTCATAAAAAGATGTTATGCAGCTCTCCTAAAGAAAAGAAAAGAAAAGAAAAATTGTCAAAATGACACACTTTGATTTGATGTATTTTTTTTCTTCTTTCTGTTTATGTTTTTTTTTCTGAATTTTTAATTTCTAACTTCAATTTAACAATGAAGCAAAAAAAGAAAATTAAAAAAAAAAGGACAAATTTTAGTCTTGATATTTTAAAAAGACCTTTGAAAGGGTTAAAATATTTTATAAGGAATTCTGTTTTTTTATGAGGAAATACATTACATATGCACAACACGTCTAGAGAAAATGCTAAAACATTAAATATTTTGCAATTTCACCCTCATGACAAGAAAAGGATCCCCATTGTTTTAAAATAGCGTGTTGGACGCTGTCCCAGTCGCTTGATGTAATTTCCTGTTCGCTTCATGATGTTTTATCATGATCTATATTTCCAGGATCGGCTTTGTCATTTTCTTTCAAATGCTGAAAGAGCAGAAAAGCAGTACAGGAAGAATTGAATGGGATTAAGGAATACAGGCTATTTTCGATGTTATGAGTTACAATATCCTTTCATTGGTGACTTCCGTCTTTCAAAGTTTCATTACATCATGCTTTTCAAAGGGAGATTGGAATGTTGGATGAACATGAAGATTCCAATTTCCTCTGCATCGATAAATCTCTACTTTTTTTTTAATAACAATCTTTTAAAGAAAAATGAATGAAAAATGATCGACTCTCGACAATTATTTATAGATCCATGGGGAGAGGAGACATTGAAGAAAGAGGGTCAAGTCCAAAAAGTTATTTTGACCTCCTAAACTCGCCCCATCTGTTTCGCCTGGAGCATATCCCCCAAGAATGAACGCAAATCTGCAAAGAAGGTTTTTTATCAAATTTGTATAACCCCCCCTAATCACGTTTTGATTAATTTTCATAGCCCCGTGATGGGACAGTGCCCCCTATTGCTAGCCCCTCTTTTGTTGCTGATTTTCTCTCTCCAGAGACTGGGAATGTCCAATGTCCAGGGGCAATTTTGACCGTTGGTTTTTATCGGCTTTCACAAGTTTCCAAAAAAAGGAATAGCGGTCTTTCTCAATGAACTTCAACTCATTGGGGATCAGTGGCGTGGTACTGTAAAAATTCTCCACCCTTTTTTTTTCTCGAAATTTATTTCTATCAACCACACATTCTCTCTCTCTCTCTCTCTCTCTCTCTCTCTCTCTCTCTCTTATTTTCTCATCATCTGTCATATTTTTCTTGCTTTTATGTTATTTTCCCCACTCACACTTCTTTAAACAAGGTATCTTTCCTTTTCCTTATTTCTCTTTCACTTGTATCACCCATCTCTCTTGTTCTTATGATCACTTTCTCTCCACTTTTTTGTTGTGTTTTGGCTCTTCTTTTATATCTCTCATCCTTCCAATAGATGGTCTTCTTCTGCCTATTTCTCTTTCTCTCCCCACTCTCTCCTACTAAATTTATTCTTTTCATTAATAATTCTTGAAGCTCTCACTGCCTTACTTACATTAATGTTTATTCTCCGTCTCCTCCTCTTCCTCCTTTCTTCTTCTTTTCTCCATTCTTCTCTCTATTCTCCCCCTCTGACTCTCTCTCTCTCTCTCTCTCTCTCTCTTCCTCACTCTCTCTCTTTCCATCTCTCTCTCTCTCTCACTCTCTCTCTCTCTCTCTCTCTCTCCCTCTCTACCTCCATTTCCGCTCATAAAATCTCTTTAAAAAAGTTCATTCACTCCAATCGCTCCTATTTATTTCTCCCTGGTGCCAGACTGCTTTTATTTCTCTCTGACCCACTTGTTAGTGCAACAGAAGCCTGGCAATTTTAACTGATGAAGTCTACTAATTCATGTGACAGTTTCCCCTTTTTGTTCTGAAAGAGGGGGGGGGGGGGGGGGTGAGGAAGAACGGCTCGTTCTTGTATTTTCCTTCTTAAAATGTAAATTAAGTGCAATTGCAAATCATGTATGGGAGTTATGCATGTATAGACGTTGATGTTTATGGCTTTGTAGGGAATATTAGAAGAAAAAATTGTCAACAGAAATCGTTTGATGAATACTTCATTTTCCTTCTTTGTTCAGTGAAGATTTATCTTGCTATAAAAAAGTTGAGATTCATGTAATTTTGTATTCAGGATGTTGTTTCCTCTTACATTGTAGTCCTATGGAAAGAGAGCCGTGGAAGAGTAATAAATTTAAAACAACAAATACACTTTAACCAAATCATGTATAAAGCAGTTCTCTTAGCAAATAACAAATTTTGGGATCAGAAAAAGTTTGAGGTTGAATTTTAAAGT